AAGCTTAGCCATGAGGTTATTAGTCAGATTGGAAGTAGGCCAGTTCACCAGAGACTAAAAACATAAAATCAACTCCATCATCCTGTCTAAGGATTGGAACATAACAAAAATCCTTTCTACTTCTTGGAAGCCCACCAAAGAGTAGGGCATGGGTTTTGTTTGCATCTGCACGCTCAGATGACACACTTCCTCTGCTGTCTGCTCTGATCCTATGAGTAAAAGGATGTTGAAATGTGTAAGAGGTATGCTTTCCAAAAACAGGATTTTTGTCAATGTTAGCAGCCGCAGGCAGGCAGCAAGGGAGGCATGACATATAAGATTAAAAATTAAAGCAACAGTTGGGCCAAATTATTTAACCCTTGAGAGTTTTCCTTTTTACTTAAATGCATGAAATGCATTAAATATTTACTGTATAGACATTCTCCCCTCCCCACCTCTCCCAACTGCCATCTTGACCTGTGTATCTTGTTCCAATATTTAAGCAATGCAATATGGCTGTGGCTATTTCTATAAAAGAATACAGCTATTATAGTATGATATGTTTTCATTACTATTCAGTTGTATCTTAAAACTTGCATTTCTTTTACCTGTGCCTCTTAATTTCTTTCTTCTTCTGCAGCTCTGCACATGAATTTTGTAGTATTTTTTCAATAATTATTTCACAGTATCATAGAATCATAGAAAATTAGGGTCAGGAGGGACCTCAGGAGATCATCTAGTCCAACCCCCTGCTCAAAGCAGGACCATCCCAAACTAGATCATCACAGCCAAGGCTTTGCATAAGCCAGATCTTTAAAACCTCCAAGGATGGAGACTACACAACCTCTCTGGGTAATCTGTTCCAGTGCTTTACTACCCTCCTAGTGAGAAAGTTTTTTCCTAATATCCAAGCTAAACCTCCCTTGCTGCAACTTGAAACCATTGCTCCTTGTTCTCTGATCTGCCACCACTAAAAACAGTCTAGCGCCATCCTCTTTGGAACCACCTTTCAAGTAGTTGAAGGCTGTTATTGAATCTCCTCTCAGTCTTCTCTTTTCCAAACTAAATAAGCCCACCTCCTTCAGCCTCTCTTCAGAAGTCATGTGCCCCCAGCCCCATTTTTGTTGCCCTCCACTGGGGTCTTTCCAATTTGTCCACATCCTTTCTGTAGTGTGTGGCCCAAAACTAGACACACAGTACAGTACTCCAGATGTGGCCTCACCAGTGTCAGAGGGGAAGAATCATTTCCCTTGATCTGCTGGCAAGTCTTCTACTAATACAGCTCAGTATGCCATTAACATTCTTGGCAGCAAGGGAACACAGTTGGCTCATATTCAACTTATTGTCCACTGTAACCCCTAGGTCCTTTTCTGCAGATTTGGTGCCTAGCCAGTCAGTCCCACCCTGTACTGGTGCATGGGATTGCTCCCTTCTAAGTGCAGGACTTTGTACTTGTCTTTATTGAACCTCATGAGATTTCTTTTGGTCCAATCCTCCAATTTGTCAAAGTCTCTCTGAATCCTAGTCCTACCCTCCAACATATCTACTATTTCCCTAGCTCAGTGTCATCTGCAGACTTGCTGAGGGTGCAAGTTCCCATCTTGCAGGTCATTGATGAAGATATTAAACAAAACTAGCTCCAGGACTGACTCCTGGGGCTCTCCACTAGATACTGGTTGCCAACTAGACATCAAGATATTGATTACTACCCCCTGAGCCCAATGATCCAATCAGTTTTCTGTCTACCTTCCAGCCCATACTTCCTTAGCTTGCTTGAGAAAATGTTGTGGGAGACCATATCAAAAGCCTTGCTAAAGTCAAACTATATCACAACTGCTGCTTTCCCAGCATCCACAGAGCCAGTCATCTCATCAAAGAAGGCAGTCAGGTTGGTCAGGCATGACTTGCCCTTGGTGAATACATGATGTCTGTTCCTACTCACCTTGTTCTCCTCCAGGTGTTTAGAAATGAATTATTTGAGGACATGCTCCATGATTTTTCCAGGGACAGGTGAGACTGACCAGTCAGTAATTCCCCGGATCCTCCTTCTTCCCTTTCTTGGAGATGGGCACTACCATCCATGACCTCTCCCAACTGCCACAGGTTTTCAAAGATTATGGCCATCAGTTCTGCAGTCACATTGGCCAACACGCATCGCATCTGATCCCATGGACTTGTAAATGACTAGAATAATTTTCTTATGTTTAGATGGGTTCACACTGTTATATGATTCTAAACATACAGTCTGTTGTATGGGCACACTAAAAATCTCAATAAAGTTGGTTATTTTTTTGTAATAATATTCATAACAGATTACTTGTCTAGGCAGTAATTGCTATTGTGGCTTTATTATACAGACTTGGTTCATTTCTGTTTTCAGTGACAAGCTTTCTAATTAAGAATTCTGTCCCAGAATAGGTACACAGTGGGCATATCTACAAAAGATGCTAACTGCGCAGTAGCCAAATGATACTGCACAGTTGCACGTCACAGCACAAACAGGCATTTGTGTAGCTAAAATGGGATTCGCCAGTGCTACTGCACCAAAATTCCAGCTGCTGCATATTTATTTAGTACTTGATTATACAAGTACTAAAGAAATGTGCAGTAACAACTGCACAGTAGTGTCTTGTGTAGACGTGCCTAATAAGGTGTCAAGGAATGTGAATGAAAGTCGGATTTGACCTTACCTTCAAATTGTGGGATGCCACTAAACTTCTACTGTGCTACCTACTATTTAATAGTATCTAGACTGGATCTAAATATTCATATTTTCACATTAGACATGATTGAATATAGCCTTAATGCTGTTACTCTAAATGTTGCTTCCGTATTTGCTTGTAGATTGTGAGAAAGAGCTGATTGTACATTGTTTGTGCTGAGGTGTTAGAAAATGTGTTTGAGTTTTGCAGAAGCAGAACATCTTGAAAACTTCTACACCCAACATCAGCAAAAAAAAAAATATGCTCCAAAAACGAGTCATCATCTTGGTCACTCAGCTACTCTGAAATGAGCTTTATGATATCGGATTACTGTTGAAATTAGACCTATGAGTGGTCTTTTGGAACATTACGTTCTAAGTGTTCCTATACACTGGATTCCATGCAAAGACTGGAGAAAAAAATGTTTGATTTCAGTTTTATATCGTTCTTAGCACTTCTACGACTGTATTTTACTATAACAGACAAGGAACAAGGAAACACTGAAGTTGAATCAGTTTCCCAGAAAGCAAATGTCTGGGGTGGCTGAACACATTTATGACATCAAATATAGAATCATGCAATTTGGGTTCTAATGCCAATGACCAAGCAGCTCAAGGGCTTAAGTAAAAAAAAAGGTACTGCTATTCAGGCACAGGCAGTGTGACTAATCAAAACATGGTATGTTTTTCTTTCAGATTTGCCTCTGGATTATAGATTTACCCGATTTTCCTCAAATAGCTCTGAAACTGCTGGTTTTTATCCAAATCCTCCAAGATCATTGCTGTCAAATGGTGAGCCCATGCCTACCAAATAGTTCAACTGCTTTTTTTTCTTAAGTAGCCTTGTAGTCTTTACCAAACTGCTGTCATAGTGTTTTTACCAATTAGCATCTGACATAATGCTTCATGACATCAAATGAGGAATTAAAAGCCAGACTCACATACATACTTGTGTTTCACATGTTTTTTTGGTCCCACTGGAACAGATGAGACTGGAATACTTGTCTGCAAATCTTCTTACCATGCTACCTGTCAGAATTTGTCATTTTTTCCACGCATTATATAAACATGGTGACAGCACATTGTCCAATCACTTTCAGAAGTGTGTTCAAATGAGCTCATTGCAAATTACATATCATATTATGTTAGATTTGCATGTTTTCAAGGATACTGTCTGTATTCCCTTACTTAAGCAGCCTCCACTGCTATAGTAAGTCCTGAGAAAAATGAGATTGGGAGGGGCATGAAACCAAAATGTGAACATACCAGCCCAAATCCTGCTTTTAAATAAACACAGTCAAAATGTAGCCTGGGTAATTGTAAGAGAGGTCCATTATTGTAGTATCTAAGGCTAAGTACAGATGTTCAAAAAGCACCTGCTAGAAGTGCTCTAACTTGTCATGCTTTACTCAAAGCAGATAAGTTAAAGCAGGAGCCAACTGAACAGAAGTTTGCTGTTCAGGGGAGAGAGGGAGGAAGGAGGGGCTCACAGCCTGCCTGCACTGGCTGCTAGGGGTGGTGCCACACACCTCCCAGGTGAGTGCCAGACTGGCACCTCTCCCTAGTGGCACCCCCACTTCCCCCCTGCCTCCCCTCCCCACCAGCTGGCATCCATCAGCAGTGTCTGGAAGGAGAAAGGAGGGAGCAGAGTCCCACCACCACAAGGGCCCCCCACAACTTGCTGGCTGGGGCCTGGGGGGGCCAAGAACACAGGGGGTGCCTTTCTCCTCCCCACCTTGACAGCTGCAGCCAGCAGCTGCAGCATGACACGGCACAGCTAGGCCAGGGCTGCATCAGGGAAAGGGCTCTGGGATCTGTGTCCCACTGCCTGGCCAGACTACCGCAGGGACAGAAACCCCAGAGCCTTTCCCCTGCAGCTGCCCCCCAGCCAAGTAGCAGTGGGCCACAGCCCTGCTGGGGCAGCTCCTGGGAAAGAAACCCTGGACTCCTTCCCTTGTAGCCCCCATCCCAGCTAGGCCGTGATGTACTGTGGGGCCGGGGCTGCTGTGGGGACAAAAACCTTCCCTCCCTCCCATCAGGCTGCATAGGAGGCTGGGATCAGAGACTGTCACTGACACGGGTCATTGACAGTCAGAGAGCGGGGCCAGCCAGGTGCTTAGGCCTAGCAAACGACCCTGTGAAATGGTGGCAACTGCATTCTAAGTTAATCCTCGACGGGATCTGGCACAGATGTCCGATAAAGAGCTCTAATAGTAACTGCTTTAAGTTAGTAGACATCCATCCAGGGTTAACTTAGAGTGGAATCAGCCATTTTTAAATGCTTTATGTGCCATGAACATCTGTTCTGTTACATCTGTAAAGAGTTTTCTGCACTGTTAAAGTGTATTAAGTATAATGTCTGTACCTAGCCTAATCTACATCTAGTTACTGCTGAAAGAGAGGGCTTTCATGCCATCCACCTACTCAGAGACATATAGAACCAAACCTGTTATACATATGAAATGCCACAGTGGATTTAGGTGCCAAACTGTAATCCTATTCTACCCTGCTTGAGTTCTTGGATGCAAAAAAATGGATAGGGAGGGTGGATGATAGGTGCTCCTTCTCAAGACTTTTTGTGACTTAGTCTTAAGGGTAAAATGATACCTTGTAACAAAAATAAACATTATAACATCTTTTCAAGGACTTTAGTGTGGTGGAGTAGGATCACACTTAGTCACATACATCCCCTGAGGTGCCAAATGGATGAAATAGAATCTGACCCACAGTGACTAAGTTCCAGATCTGGAAAGGGACATTGACCTGAAGTGGAACTTGGGCTCAATTTACATAGCTGTGTTCAGAATTATAACCACTTCTGTTTTTGACATTAACTTTCTGTTTCTGGGCACATCCAGAAGTGCCTCGATCTTTGGCAGGGGAAGCTGCTCAACACCCAGCTCATAGTTAAGCCCAATGAGAATGCATAAATTAAGCATTTTTCCTTTCATGTCACCTCAAGTAGGCATACTTTACAAATTCAGACTACATGCCTAATGGATCAGACTCTCTGCTACAAAACTGTGGTCACCACTATTTTTTTTAATGTAGCGTTGGTGCCAGTGTCCCATTTTGATTCAGTAGTGGAATGTTTAGAACATTTTCCCAGGATGTGGAAGACTTGGGTTTAGTCTCCTTCGTTGCCTGAAGGAGTTCAAAACCACAGCTCCTGGAAGAGTGCCCTAACTAGCAGGTTTCAGGCTGCTGCTGGATGGGCAGGAAGAGGACACCCTGAACTGTTCTTTTGACCCCTCATGATTTTGGTGTGCATGGAATAAGTAAATATAAATTGGCCACAGAAAATAAGAGAAATAGGGAGACAGAGAGAGAGAGAGAAAGAGAGAGAATGAGTCTGTAACCTAGTGCTTAGGGCACTAACCTGGCTGTGGTATGTTTTCTATCCAATGACTGTTTCATGTAAAATACATTACTGGTCCTTGAATTAAAGACTGGACTCCAGGTTTCCCCCTTCCTGGTTTTGACCCTAACCACAGCACCCAGTCTCGCTTTCTGGCTCCCTGCATAGTGGAACAGCTTCAGAGGAATGGAGGCTTGGAGGAGAGTATGGTAAATAAAGTGCTAAACCCCTGAAGAGGAGTGGGGTTGAATATACACCCTTGCCCCATCCTTCCCCTGTTGACAGCTTAGGCAGTCCTCTGATCAGCATTCTTTCCAGACATTGTATAGGGAGCCACGAACCAAAGAGTTAAACACTGCACCATTCAGGTGTGTGGTATCTAGGTCTAAGTGACTTGCCCAAGCTCATACAGGAAATCTGTGGTGCAACTAGGAGTTGAACATTGGGCTTCCCAAATCTAATCTAGCCAGTGGGCCACCTCTGCTCTAAATTACTCATGCTCTAAATCTGAAGTAATCAATTGATATGAGGGGAAATATTCCATATTTTCCCTGGTTTTACAGAACAGAGCTTGGGCTATTTTGCAAGTCACATGCCTAGTTATCTATTTCTCCCAGGCACATTAGGGTAGCAAAATTTTAGATAAACTTCCTTCCAGAGAACTGTATGACTTGTCGTTAGTAACAGATGCAGAGCCTGTCATTTCATTTCAAGATGATCAAGTGTTAAATAGTTCCCAGTAACATAATTAGTGTGGGGCTAGGGAGGCACCATCCCCAGGCACCAATTTGGAGGGAGCATCAGCTTCCAAATCAACAGCCACAGCCAGGTAGGGTGCATGGAACCAACCCCAACCCCTGGCCACGACAAGGCAGTATTCAGGGACCCAGCACTGGCCCCAACCTCAGCCCCAGTCCCACCCTCAGGGAAGCAGCCTGCAGGGAGCCAGCCCCACACCTTCCCCAGTGAGGCAGTATGCAGGGAGATAGCCACAACTGCAGCAGCAGCTGCTGTCAGGTGAGAGCCTCCCATGCTTGCCCCCACTGTCACCATCTCTCCTATATATTCTCAAGTGCTTGGCACACACACACCCTCCCCCCCATCTCTGCTCAGGGCACAAAACTCAGTAGTTACACCTCTGATAGTTTCGTTCTCATGTCTTTATGAGGCTCTACATGAAAAGAATGTGAAGTCTCACTCTAGTTTACTGGGGGGGGTTTTGTCACAGATTATCAAATTTCAAACGTTAGAACACAAAAACAAATTAAATCTATATTAGGTAGAAACAGTTTGAACTTGGTTTTCTTCTATAGCATAGAGATGTTGGTTTTCAGTTCTTCTGCTCCAGTATACACAGCCACTACCTGCAGACTTCCAAGTTGGCTGTGTGTTCAGTATTAATATAACTTGCCTCGAGTCACACCTATAAAGCAAAAAAAAGGTGGGGGGGTTAAAAAAAAAAGGTCTTGGCGGGGTTGGGAGTGGGGGACAGGCCTCTAAAAGTGCTAGTCTATACTCAGTGACCTATGAGATAAAAAACCTAGTAAAGCTGAAATTTTACCCTTGGCTTATGCTGATAACAGTAACGGAAGGAAAAATAGTGTTAAGCTGTCATTTTTTCCAACATCTAAGGGACTGTATTTTCAGATACTGCAAGCTGGCATAGGTCTTTTAGACTGCAAATCTTGCTTACGGTTTTGAAATTTTCTGGTACATGTCCTGGAAAAGGAGGGCACATATACACGTGTCAGACGTCTGTTCCCACACATGCTATAATTAGCCTGCATCAGAACAGGCTCAATTAAGAGCCTCCGCGCTACATGTATTCTGTGTCCCGTTCTTCAAAATGGCGGCAGGGATGCTTTAACTCAAGCTCATCAAATGAGCTTCAGTTAAAGCACCCCCACAGCCTTTTGACACGCTGGACACTAAATACACATGATGCTGTGGGTGCTTTAATTAGAGAGGCTCTCAGAGCCACTCTAATTAAAGCATCCTCCCCTCACCCCAGAGCACATGTATAGACACCCAGAGTTTCTAAAGCACCAAAACGTAGAAATTTAGTCAAATTTGGTAAATATATTTGCCCCAAAATGGAGGGGGCAGGGAGAAGGAGAAATTAAATATATTAACATTTTTGTTTTCACATTTTCTAAATGAAATGCTTGATTTCAGAAAAGCCGAATATTTCATTTTGAAATTTTCTAAACAAAATATTTTGATTTTTTAATTTTTTTTTTTGTTTAACATTGATCTGAATTAAAGAAATAAGGTTAAACAAAATGAAACAAAACATTTTGCTGCTGGTCATGTAAAATGTTTCCTGTTGACCCAAAACATTTTCATGTTTTCATTTTATTGAAGGAATTATTTTCCATTTTTTTTCAGTAGAGCCATCTAACTGATCACTCCATTATTTGCCCAGCTCTCATTA